TTATGTATTATAAATTGTAATGAATAAATACCTCATTAAAAAAGCAATTTAACAACACTGTAGCGTTGTGTGCTTTTCGTATTTACTGCTTATCAAGTCAATATAAAGAGAATTTATGATATGACAACAGCAGTAGTGTAGTTTCTAGCATTGACGAAACGTTGTCGACCACCCTAAGGCTTACTGATCCAATCTGACCAATTCTGTAATGTACTTCTTTTAATCCGATCAGTTAGTTCAATACCACCAAAAGATATTAACACTGACTACGTTTAAAATGTCAAAGAAAGTGGCTTATTCCTTAGTGGTCAAGCCAACCTACAGAACTTCAGAGGAGGGAATGATCATTAAGGAGAATCTATCAAACTTTTGTGAATTGGAAAACTTCATCTTGTAGCCAGTTATACCACTGAATAAAATGAGTCGTTGGAAACCACTCAAGTTGACCTGTAGAAGTCATCAGTAACATCTGAGTGATCTGAACAACAGACAGATATTCCACTTGGTGGATACTATGCTCATCAGAATGAACCAAGACAGATTAAAACCACAGATTTAAAATGGTAGCCTCACCTCAATCTGGTTAACTGATTTACATGAACCGGTGTACATTAAATGAGACGAACAGTTTCTAAATCATTGGCTAATTGGTCATTCTACTTCTAATCTTCTAACCAGCTAATTAACAAAGGATAACATTATCGTGTCTGAAAATGATTTTCCTATGGGTTGTGGGCTTGTATTAAGGAAGATTTTTTATCAATAACTCGGGAATTATTTTAGTGCATTACTATCCGGGGGGAGACCAACTCAGATGAAACCAATGGAAGATAGTGAAGGAAACCTAGTTACCGACAAAGAGGAGAAATAAAGGAAACAATAGACTGACCACTTGAAAAAACTCTAGAATCGACCACCACCACCTGTAACTCTTCCAGAAATACCACCAGCAGCACAGCCACAGAACTATCAGAGAACATAAACCCTCCGAAAAAAGCGAAATTCCTGAATGCTATAGACCTGCTGAAATTCGGGAAAGCAGCAGGACCAGGTGGAATTCCACCGGAAGCACTGAAAACAGACGCAGAGACAACAGCAAATATCCTCACACTACTACTACAGAAGGTTCGGAAGAAAATGTACCTGCCTGTCGACTGGAAGAAGGGCTACCCTGTCACACTCCCAAAGGAGGGAGACGCAAGTCTTTGCAAGATCAAGTACTGGCGCGGAATCATGCTCCACTGCCGTCCACTCCAAGCAAAATTTTATGCCACGTCATCCTGGAGAGAATAAAAGATGCGCTCGATTCAAATTTACGACCGGGACAGGCTGGCTGGCTTCAGGAAGAACAAATCACGTGCGGATCAAACTGCGACGCAACGCTACACATCATTACTGAACAGAGTATAGAATAACAGTCAACTTCCTACCTCAACTTCATTGACTTTGAAAAGGCCTTCGACAGCGTCCACCGAGAAGTAATTTGGCAGGCAGCTGCTTCAACACTACGGTTTTAGTGCCACAAACCTTTATCAACCTCATTCAACAGCCAGAAGCTATTCTGTATGAGGAAGCTACATGCCAAGTGATTCACAATGGAAAGAAAGCTGAGTGATGCCTTTGAAGTGAAGACAGGAGTAAGACAAGACAAGGTTCCCGCCTACTATCATCAATGATCTTCCTGGTTGTGATCGACTGCACTGGATCATGCAGCAAACCGTGAGGAACGAGAGGAGGGGCATACGCTGGACTGATGAAAAGAGCCTAGAAGATTTGGATTTCGCCGATGATTTACGTCTAATGTCTTCTCGCACAAATTCTGAGCTGTACAGGCGAAAACTGACAAGTTGACAGGAGAGGCAGCGAAAACGGGACTTCAAGTGAACGTAGAGAAGACAGAGGTGATGAACATACCCAACGAACACCATCAAAAACAACAACAAGCTCCAATCACCATCAAAGGGAGGAACTTAAAGGAAGTAGTCTCTTTCACCTACCTAGGCAGCATCGTTTCAACTATAGGCGATACAGACAAGGATGTCAAAACCAGAATCGGAAAAGCAAGATAGGCTTTCACAGATCTGAAATCAGCGTTGAGATCTACTGCACCCAGCATAAAGCGTGAACAAGATCTGGATTTTCAACACCAATACCAGTCAATTCAGTGCTTCTGTATGGTTGAGAGACTTGGCACGTCACGAAAAGTACTTCCAACAGACTACAGACATTTATCAACAACTGCCTACTCTGGCTCGTCACTGAAGCTCAGATGGCCGGAAATAATAAGCAACAAGGAACTCTGACTGTCAACGAACCAACCAAGAACTTATCACCCAAAAAATATGTAGAAGAAAGTGGAGATGGATTAGGCATACATTGAGAAGGCCGATTGGGGACATTACGCGTCAGGCCGTCGAGTGGAATCCAAAGAGTAAACGATGAGTTGAGCGTCCCGGGTGTGGCCGAAATGGAGATCGTGGGAAGAAGAAATGAAAGGTTGTGGGAAGTCATCGAGCGAGGTTCAAAAGACTGCAGAGAACAGAGTGCAATAGAGGCGTACCACTGAAGCCCTATGTTCTACTAGGAACCCAAGGGAAAATAATTTTAATAATAATTAGGAACATGGAGAGTAACGGTTGAAATACAATTTTCACATATATTTTGAGCTACTTAAAAAAGTGTAAGTAGCTAAACTATGTTCTCTAATTATATCTTTCGAATAACACTAAATGTAGAAAATCCGTGTGCATGAAGCATGCAGTCCCGGTGATAATACTTGATCTTCAACTAACTTAGAAGTAATTATAACTAATTTTATTAAAGTAAAACCTGAAAAATAATTTCAGTTTTAGATGTTTCTAAATGGTGTGAAATAATCATGTGTCAACATAATCAGAATGAAGTGGGCAATAAATACAGAGGAGTAAACTAAATAGTTTCACAGCAAGAAAAAAGACTTAATGCACCCACCTAGCAGGATATAGTTTCTAGTTTGGTAACTACTGAGCTTAAATCCTGATGTGTGCTATAGTGGGGACCATAATCAAAAAGTTTACAGTAGTACGGGTGATTAAGTAAATCGATTCACTATCATGCTATTTATTGATGGATAGTGGCTAATAGTGAAATCTGAGACGCGCGTTTTGTCCTATTCAGGACTCATCAGCTGGATATATCCACCTTTCACTGAGCGATATTGTTCCCACTAGGAGCCCACATATCAGTGGAGAGAGATCAGTTCGGTTCACTCAGCTATGGAATAATACAAGCAACAATAACCCGTCGTGACTCAGTGGTCTAGTGCATACCGCTTTGGCGTTTGAAGCGTTCGTTCCGGGCTCGAGTCCCGGCGGGGACAATACTGCTCACTGGGAGGCAGGTACTAAATAAGATGAAACGCCCATCCCGAATCCCATTGCTAGCCAATATCCACCAATAATATATAATTCAAACATAGGCAATATCGTGTCATCCACACAGGAGCCTATGTGTCAATAGTAACGAGTGAGTTTGGTCCACTCAACGATGAGATAATATAAACGACAACAATATACCATTCTGAGTCTTTCTCCATAAGAATGTAAACGTTAGTGTCTAGAAATAAAGATCATATATGGTAAATGTTCCAGGTATTGTAGGTTTACAGCTCCATCACACTGATCTATTCATATGTTATAGGATCGTGCACTCAATCTATTTATGGCTTGGTCTGTCATCCAAGCAAAATCAAAGCTTCTTAAAGAGATATCAGTATTGGAATGTTTGTATACATCATTTTTCATTTAACTTTAAGAGATCAAATTCACTGGTAATATGAAATATCATTGCTATGGAATTCACATCAAACAGATGACAGCTAATCAATAAACTGGATTCATTTCCACCGAAAGTATTAAACTCATTATGCCTTATTGGCTGAGTATATGAATTGATTACTACCCATTTGGTAATAACTTAAGTGATCGTTGTTCTCTTGGAGTTACCGTTTTAGGTAGATCTATATTACTGATAACCTTTTAGTAATCGATTCGTGTGCAAACTTCAGTCCTATAGGTGAGCTTAATAATTGCTGATGAGTGCTGAAAGTCTTAAAACTTAGCCCAATCAAACCTTCTAACCGATAAACTCTTAGAATCTTACACTTCAGTCAATCTTTACACTTAATCAGTAATTATAAATGTATTCTTGTCATTATACATGCTATACAAATTTATACTAGATTTCAGTGAGTAGATTTCTAAGCAAACATCACTCTGAATACTGTCATTCTTGATAAAGTCTACCTGAAAATTTAAAGTAATCTTTCAAGAAGCCCAAATGTCAACAAAGACTGGTTGGTCTATATGATTCAGTATTATAATCATCGAGGAACAATAAGTATCTATAAGTGTTAACTGATAGCCGTTGATTTAATGAAAAATGATATGGAATTTGTAAACAGTAGTTATTAGGCTGCATTCTCAGTAGGAATAGAATTACTCACTGGGATCCAAGTAAATTCGGCTGACCAGTTCTAAATAAAATGTAACTTATTCCTTGGATTCCTCTTCTAGTCATCACCAAATAAATTGTATAATACTAAACGTTTATATGTCAACATAGATCAGTCATTTTGTTCCAGTGTAATCAGATATGACATCATGAAGCTCTAATGAAAAGCCGTGACCTGTAGGGTCAACCAGTCGGAAATGAAGTGGATACTAACTGAAAACCTTGGGTGACAGTCGCGTCATGTCGTAAATTGACAGAAGTTGGAAATTGTGAACCAAGTGACTGAATGGTTAACGTGTTCACCGTGAAACCTGAAGGTCCTGAGTTCGATCTGTGGCGGGGTCGTAGATGCGTACTACTGAGGAGTCTCGTGCTAGGACGAAACATCTGTCCAATGCTCCCAGATTTTCAATGGTTCCCCATCTGATATCATTCCATGATAATAAGAGATAAGTTATACAGATTAATAAATAAATATGAATTATGAATAAAATATTTAATAAACATACCATATGTATTGTTTATTTCACAATCACTATCAACTGTACTATGATGTACAAAATTGTAGAATACACTTTTTAGTTTATTTTCATAATCCTTTGAAACAATATTCTCTTCACTTCTAGTACCTGTTAAAATAAGCATATCTAAACCATGAAATGGAGTATTTCTAGGTGTTGAATTTAATAACCCCGGTACTTTTATTAAAGGTTCACTAGATGGTTCAGTATTGTATATATGATAGAATTTAGTTGAATATAAATATTTCATTGTATAATTTCTCCAATAATTTATAAGCCAACCATGTGGACATGTATATTTTAATGCAGATATTAAATTTAATAAAATATCACTATGTTTTTGATGAATTCTATGTGTTAAATTTAATAGAATATCTTTACTTATACCAAGTGTAAATAAATTCTTTTCTATACTGATGGTAGATTTAGTTGATTCATCTAAACTAGTATATACATTATCACTGTCAACAAATCCACTGAATTCATTTTCCATTGATGAGAAGACAACGGATTTAAGCCAAGAATTTCGGTTAGTTACATCATCTAAATAATAAAAGTATACAATAATACATATATAGTATGAAAAAATAAAAACCAAATTTGAAAAGGTAATTAGTTCCAAGACAAGATAATATATTCATAAACTACTTCGATAATAAGAGATAAGGTTAAACAATCAGATCAATCAGAGATATAAACATTTTAAACAAGACTAAATCAGTTCAAGCTGATAAACATTACAATAACGAATATTTCAAGTTGGAGGAACAAAAGAAACCTAGGAGTACTGGACAGATGTTTCATCCCACAAGTATGGGACTCCTCAGCAGTGCACACTTACGACCCCACACTAGCAAGGGTGATGTCAGTCTACGATGAATAATAACTTGAAATATTTCCAAATCTCCACAACTCCCTCAAAATTTAATAACGAATAATAATCTCAAAAGAAAAGAGTGTATAATTGAATATTCCTATTTAGATATTTAGAAAAAAGGCTGATTGAAGAAAGAAATATATTCCTTACTAATTACGTCTTCATCTCCAGCTTTACACTAATTTACCTATCAATTGGTGGGGTGTTGGTGAACAATAATCATTGCTTTTAAGTAAATCATGAAGATGATAAGTTTAAGAAATTAAAATGTAAATAATCAGTAGAGTTAATATAATTATTTTTATACCCATCGTACAACAAGTGGCTATCGTTGCTCGGTGGTGTAGTGGATACACATTGGCGTTTGAAGTGATCACTCCTCAGTCCGTACCCCGGAGGGAACAACATCACTCACTGGAAAGCAGGTACATCCAGCTGATGAAGACTAATCAACAAACTCACACGACTTTCACAGACACAAAGCAGATACATAAACCATCGTATATTTAATATTCGATGTCTCAGAAATCAAATCATTCCTAAATATCTACGTCTACATGCACTGATTCCAACAGACAAATTCAAAGCAGTTATAGAACATGTCAGTTAACTCTGTCTTAAAGAGGAAATTCACAGAATAGTCAAAACGTGTTGTACAACATCAGGAATTATACTGAAGAACTTAAGTGTAAGCTGATACAAACAGTTAGTGAAAAAGGTTATGAGCTTCTGATGAACAATTTCTATAAAGCAATAAAGCAACAATAGTATATCACCAAAGTCAAAGTGGGTTGTCAATCTATCAAGTAGAGTCCTAAGCTCAACAGAAATGAAAGTGCTAGAGAAAGGTCTTAACTTCAGTGTAGCGGTTAATCAGTTGAAACCAGAAGATCCAGTAAGTGCTACTGTTTCACTGTGTGATATTTCGAATAAACAAAGCTGATGAAATGCTTGTTCTCTTCAGGTTTTATCATGCCAGAAAATTCACTTAGATATTAATGGTGAGACTAAAAGCAGTTACAGTTACAGAGTAAAATATTACTCTATTATAGGGGTCCGAGAGCGAAGTCATACTGCTGCATTAATGGGGTGTGACAACAATAAAGTGTATCCCATAGATGACCAACCGTACCACTCTGATACCGCCTTCCGTATGAGAAGTGAAGGATGAAAAGGTGGGCCTCAAAAATAGCACACTCCCCACTACCCAGAGTATATCAGTGCTGGTGACACGGGTTCGTAGTCACATTGGCAAAAAGAGAACAATACTGAAAAAATTCTAAGATAGTTATGTGTAGCCAGTCAAAAGCACATGTCCTATAGGCTCCGTGGTCATGCCTTATCATGAAAGACGAGTGAAATCATAGGCGGAACATTAACCTCTAGCTACTATTTTGCTGCCGGCTTTCTGGTAGGATCCTGAGGGAAACACTGAGATAGGACTCCAAACACTTGCAGAAGTCGACAAAGCTGTTAGTAACAGGAAACACATAAGAGCAGTAAGGCCGAATGGAATAATATCAGAGGTATTTAAGGACGATGATAGTGGATTTTATTCAAATTAACTGGAGTTTTAACTAGTGTATACAAGTCAGATTTGATTTCCTCTGACAGACCCTAATCACCGATTGTCCCCGACTTCAAGAAAGGCGAAATTTCCTATCATGTTAACCACATTGGAATCAGACAAACAAGGTTCAAAAGGTTCCACGGTCTGTAATCATGAAGCGTCTCAGTGGAACTCAAGAGAAGAGAAATCAGGCTACCTTCAGACCTGCACGTTGGTGTATTGGCCAGAAATTCACACTCCGCTAGGTTCTGGAATACATATACACTTCCCGATGCCCAACAGTTTTGTGTCAAAGATTATACCTTGTAATCTTGGCTGGATAGTTCCCAGCGGAATCTCTGCTGATACCACAGTTAGGCATTTGAAAAACTGCTGAGCAGTGACAGATGTCAATGCAGTTCGTGCAATTTTTACATCATTTGTAAATTGATCATTTTATTTTAGGTGCACTGGTCCATGTAAGTCAAGTAGTCAGATTGAGGTGATATGAAATTTGTCCGGGTACATTGCTAATGAGCTCGACCCCGAACAAACGAAACGGTCGTGTGGTGTTTAGTTCACTCTGATCTGACTGGCATGTGTCCCAACTACTCAATTGATTTAATAGTAGTATCTATCGGTAATCAAATGTAATGTAATACAACAACATACTCTGTATTATATACTAAAAACTGTTTACCTTGTCTAAATACTTTTTGTAGAACTGTTTCATTCCAGTTGATTGGTTCATTTTCTCTTTTCATTTGTGATGGTGTAAACCAAACACGCCTCTTAGTATTATCTAATTGAAATGGATCACGAAGTATTGACTTGTCATCATAGAATTCTTGAAGAAGATTTATAATCTCTTCAGTTTTCAATCTGTTCAACTTTGTACGACATTCTACTAAACGACTGTACTCATCTAACATCTTAGAATATTCAGGACATAATTTTAAAAGTTGACTTAGAACAAGTTTAGGTAAGTGGACTATAGTAATATCATCAAAATAACCAGAATACCAGTTAACTGATCCACTTGCCAACCAAATACCTTGAAATAAACTATTAGTCTGATTTATTTTTGAAGATGATTGTAGTTGAATCAATGCCATAGCAATAGTTGCACCAGATCCATGACACAATAAAGTAACACGATGTTTATCACCACCATATCTGTCAATATTCTCTTGAACCCAATTGAGTACAGCTAATATATCATGTAATAGGAAGTAAGTGATTTCAGACTGTTGATTATCTCTTCCAAGTTTATTAAAATCATAAAATACTCCAAATGGACCAAGTCTATATCGTGGATTCACCCAAACAGCATTTGAATCAATTATCACTTGATCACTAGGTAAATAAGCAACTTCTTCTTCTTCATTATTTCGATTGAATGGATTACGTATAAATTTGAAACCGGTTAAAACAATAATTACAGGTAATAATCTATCATGAAATGGTATTATAGATATATCTAAGTATAAACAATTCTCTGAAGTACCTTTTCTTATTTTTCTCTTATAATCAACTTCTAAACAACCATATATTTTATTAGGTTTATGCATATTACAAAACCATGTAGCATTTTCAAATTTACATCTATCATCATATGTAAGAAAACAATATTCATTATCGTCTTTAGAAAAAGTTTTATGCCATCGTAAGCTTTTATATTGTAAATGATATTTTTCAACAATATCATTTAATACATCTTGATATATTTGTTCCTTTTCAATAATTGGTGGTATAGCATATGGAATAGACCAATAACGTAAAACTGTCTTCTCATGATTCCATTCACCTGAATAGACTGCACAATGAGATATAATTAAATTTGATAGTTTTGGTACAATTGGCTCATTGAATATTACATATACAATATGTATTATGCATAATAGAAAGGAGACTATTATGCATAGAATAAATAACAAGTCAAATTTTCTTGAAAAATATAATCTTCTACTTTTGAGATCAATCTGTGAATGTTTATTCTCAAAGAAATCTTCAAACTTTTTCAATGGACAATAGATAATTGTAAGCTGTATATTATCAGTCATCATCTTTTTAAACTGGTCAATGTATAGAGATAAGAGATAATCAAAGAGTAAAGAGGTTAATTATTGATCGACTAGGAATTTAAGTATTAGTGAATTGACCAATGAAATATTAGTTGACATTGTTACAGAATTATAATTTCTGAATCTCCTGTTATAAGTTTTAATCAGTACGCATAGATATTATAACAAGGCTAAATATAAGTGTAAAATGTCATTGATTCTTGAAGATGAAAATAAAATTCACTAAAGATTGTTCTTCAGAAGACGTACAATTGTTACAGGGAACTTTGACCGCTAATCTAGTAAAACTGCTCAAAATGAACGTCATTATCAGTCAAAATTTGCCCTATTGAAACCAACCGAATCCCATTTCCTACATTTGCCCAAAGTACACAAACCTAACAACCTCTTACGTTCCATAATGTCAATGTGTAAGTCACTAACGCATAAGCTTGCCCAGTGGCTAGTGGAGTTATTGGATCCCATTAAAAAGCAATTTTGTAAGTATTCCTTAAAAGATACATTTGAAGTATTAAGAACAAGATATTCAGCGAAGAGACTCTTTTCAACGAATTTATTTTCAAGCTGTACAATCGTATATATATGGTATTTGGAAAAAATTATATCCTGTGAGGAAAACTAAACACTATATGGTGATGACAATAATAATAGAGCGGGTGATGACATAGGCATTTATGATTATAATAACAATTGAAGTGAGAATGATAACAAATAGATTATGTAATATATGGAATGGTACATAGAGAGTATATAACTCAGAAGGAGGTGAAAAAATTGTTGAAAATGGTAAATCAATTAAGTATTATGTAATGGCATTAGACGAATTGGACAAGATGAAGTCAATGTTTTCTAAAAGGATTAAGACAATTAAGTGAAACAACACCGGAAACTAATTAAAGTGAAGGTGATTATAATAACAAAAATAATGATAAAGGAAGGATACAAAGGTTAAATTAACAAAGTGGGAGGGGGAGCTAATGGGGTGGGAAAATGTTATGGCCATGATAAAGACAGTGACTGCACATACTTCTTTTGTACACACAGATCAGGTCTTAGTTAATGAATAGCTAAAGCCTCCGCTGTTTTAAGGAGTTCACCAGTCATCTATTTTGATGGTTGGCATTTATTGTTGTTTTTGTGATTACAGTTATTGTATAGTCTTTTGAAAATGAAAGAATTTTATGCTAATTTTAACATTTTATTGCTCTTATCAAATGAGAGAATAAAAACTAGGATCACCTAAAACAGCTGTTACTTTTATGTACAAACAATATTAAATTCACCTTTAAGGGGGAACATTTCCACCAGGTTGATGGTATCGCTATAGGAAATCCCTTAGGTCCCCTTCTAGCCGACATATTTATGTCACACGTTGAGAACTTAGCCGAGAACTGAATAGACCAAGCCCATCTGTATCGAAGATATGTTGATGATATCCTAAACATTTGTGAAAACGCAAATCAGTCTACTTCACTTCTAAACTGACTGAACGAAGTACAGAACAGCATATCCTTGACATGTGTAAAAGAGGAAGATGACTGCTTGTCGTTCCTCGTTATATTAATTAGTCGAAGGCAGGATGGATCCATAAAACGATCTATCTACAGAAAACCTACATGGACAGGGCAATATCTGAATTACCATAACTTTTGCCCAGTTCAGTACAAGCGAACGTTAGTAAGGTGCTTATTCAGCAGAATTCAAAGAATAAGCACAGAGGATACTTTAGAAGATGAAAGAGGAACCCTGACTGATATTTTGTTGGAAAATAACCATCCATCAACATTTATCAGGCAGAACAAAATTATCATAGCGCCAAAACTAGAACTCCAGTCTGTCCCAAAGAAGGATGTCTTCATCAGCCTTCCGTATAAAGGTGACTCTCAGAGTGCAATCCTTAATCACAGACTTAACGCTGTTGTCAGAAGGACTTACTATGCAGCCAGGGTTCGAGTAATCGAAACCACGAAGCCCGTATATTCCCCCAGGAACCCACAGCATGTGAACGACAGTGTGACATCCCACTGTATCTATCAATTCAAATGTACGTGTGGTGACACATACATAGGGAGGACTAATAGATCCATGCAAGTAAGGGCCTCGGAACATATTCCAAAGTGGCTTCAGAAACAAATTAAATCACCTGAACCCATAAATGTTAGTAGCAAAAATCCAAGTTCTTCGATCGCCAAACATATTGTTGAAATAGGCCACGGGATTGATATGGCTACTTCCTTTACGCTTATTTACAAACCATGTTGGAGAGGGATCCTGAAATTTGTTGAAGCCTTAGCTATTAGGAAGTTGAAACCACCTTTACGTGTTCATAAACAATTTGTTGTCACATTAAATCTTCCTTGGTAAATTCAACTATTGAAAACCAAGTTCGATGTATGATTAATTTTTGCTTTATTGATTTTCATTGTTATTCGGCCTTTACGTCAGCCTTCTTCCTGACCCCCTTTTTATTTTCTCACCCCTTATCTTCATGAGTTTTTACATAAATACCTATGACAAGTACACGTGTGATCAGATAGTTCGAAATGTGTTGCGCAAATACATTACACGGTTCAGACAATTTACGTCTTCTTATTGTTTTGTCGTCCAGAAATACCACATGCAGCCAAGCCACAGAACTACAGGTGAACACAAATCCTCCAACAAAAATATAAGTCCTGAACGCCATAAAGCTACTGAAATGCGGGAAAGCAGCAGGACCAGATGGAATCCCACCTGAAGCACTGAGAGCAGATGCAGAGACAACAGCGAACATGCTCACACCACACCACTAGTGCAGAAGGTGTGGAAGGAAGAGAAGGTACCTGGTGATTGGAAGAAGGGTTACCTTGTCAAACTGCCGAAGAAGGGAGACCTCAGTGTTTGCAAGAACTGGCGGGGAATCACTCTCCTGTCCACCCAAACCAAGCAAAATATTAAGCTGCATCATCCTGGAGAGACTAAAGGATGAGCTGGATTCAAACTACGACCGGAACAGGCTGGCTGGCTGGATTCAGGAAGTACAAATCATGTGCAGACCGAATTGCAACGCTTCACATCATCATAGAACAGAGTATAGAATGGCAGTCAACCAGATCTTTACCTCAACTTCATCGACTTTGAGAAGGCCTTTGACAGCGTCGACCGAGAGGTAATTTGGAAACTGCTTCATTACTACGGAGTACCGCAAACCTTTATCAATCTCATTCAACAACTATATGAAGATGCCACATGCCAGCCAAGTAATTCACAATGGGAAGCTCAGTGATGCCTTTGAAGCGAAATGAAGACAGGAGTGAAACAAGGTTGCCTACTATCCCCCATGATATTCTTGATTGTGGTCGACTGGATTGGATCATGCAGCAAACAGTGGGGAGCGAGAAGAGGGGGATACGCTGGCTGGACTGGGAAAAAGAACCTAGAAGACTTGGATTTCGCCAACGATGACTTGTGTCTGATGTCACACAAACTTGAAGATCTACAGGCAAAAACTAACAAGTTGACAGAAGAGGTGAGGCAGGGCAGCGAAGGAAGACGGGACTTCAAGTGAATATAGAGAAGACAGAGGTGATGAAGATACCCAACCAACAACAACAACAAGCTCTGATCACCATGAACGGGAGAGACTGACTTAAGGGAAGTAGCCTCTTTCACCTATCTAGAAACCAGGATCGGAAAAGCAAGACAGGCGTTCATTAGCCTGAAACCAGTGTGGAGATCTAGTGCACTCAGCATGTGGAACAACATCCGGATTTTCAACAGCAACGTCAAGTCAGTGCTTCTGTATGGCTCAGAGACTTGGCGGGCGCGTTACGAAAGGCATTTCCAATAAACTACAGACATTCATCAACAACTGCCACCTACGCTGGCTCGCTACTGAAGATCAGATGGATTGCCAGAAAGAATAAGCAACAAGGAGTTCTGGGAACGAACCAACCAACAACCTATCACCCAACAAATATGTACTGGAAGGAAGTGGAGATGGATTGGACTGAGCATACACTGAGAAGGCCGACTGGGGACATCACGCGTCAGGCCAGGCACTCGAGTGGAACCCAGATGGGAAGCGACGAGTTGGGTGTCCGAGGCGAGGGTGACATGGAGGAGATCGTGCGAGGAGGAAATGAGAGCTTCTGGGCTATCGTGGAACCAGGTTGAAAAGATTTCAGAGAACAGAGTAGAATGGAGACGTGCTAGTGAATCCCTGAGTTCCATTAGGAACCCAAGGGACTAATAATAAATAATAATATTGTTTTGTCGAAGGCTAAAACAAAACAGCTGTAGTATGACGCTTCTTTTCATAGTGAAGTTGGCTGATATCTCAGATTCCTAATACAAATAATGTTATTATGCTAAACAAGTTGACTTATCTAGTCTAGATACTTATTTGAAAGGCTAAAAACACTAATTTGAATGAAAACAATGAAATAGGCTGAAAGAAGGGGTTCACCACTCCTAGGTATCATTCAAAGCCATGCAAATCAGCTGTTCATTGTCACGATATATATCCTACAACCGGCGTAACTGTTATCTAGCTTATCATCTAGCCAACAATTCTTTCGTATCAACCCAGAGAAAAAAAGGAAATATTATGGCTTGCAGCAAAAACTTTAATGATATATATGTGAACACTACTTCTAAATTAAAAATTCCCATTCATCTCAAAAATACATTACTCATTAGTGACTTGCTTCCAGATGGATGTTAGAAGTTCTAATGAGAAGCCGTGACCTGTGGGGTCAATCAGTCGGAAGTGAAGTGGATACTAACTGAAAACCTTGGGCGACAGTCGCGTCATGTCGTGAATTGATAGAAGTTTGAAACTGCCAACCACTGTAAACCGACCCAATGGCTGAGTGGTTAACGCGTTCACCGTGAAACCTGAAGGTCTGAGTTCGACCCCTAGCCGGGTCGTGGGTGCGTACGGCCGAGGGGTCCCATACTAGGACAAAACAGCTGTCCAGTGCTCCCAGATTTTCAATGGTTCCCCAGTTGATGTCAGTCCATGATGAATACTACTTCTAAATTAAA